CCAGGAGAGATGATTGATCAACTGAGTTACAGAACCAGTGAATTCAGAGACCCCCAAGTTGATCTCATCTCTTCTATCTCTTCCTGCATAGTAAATTTATTGTGAATCCTCTTAATGCCAGAACCCACTTGGACACATGTGGTACAGTGTATTGGGGTCAAAGTTCCCTTTAGTTAAACTCTTGGCTGCACAACCTGGTGGAGATTCAGCATAGTGCCTTGTCACGTTGGTTGCCACTCTCTCCATCTGAAATGAATGAATGGCTTCCGTGCGAATGTCACACATTTTGGTGTAAGACTTTCTCGTCTTCGCGAAGGTATATGAGCAACTGATACTTTTAACTGGATCAACAATGATCTTTGGTGATTAAAAAAAAAAAAAAATACTTTTATCTTTTTTGTTAGATGTTCAGTTTTAATTATCTATAGTCTATTTTTAAATGTGCATTGTCGGGCAATCAAACAAAAATTTTAGTGTCAGCTTTGAAGACTTTTTTTGTTCCACTGGTTAAAATGATCTAATCAGTGTTGAGGGAAAACCCAGATTTTTGAGGAAATGCATTTTCAGCTGGAAGCAACAAGCTCTAAAGATCTGTAGCTGAAGAGTCACGAAGCACAGAACATAGAAAAGGTTAAAGGTGAGAAGCAACTCTACATGTTCCTTTTACTGCTTTGTGTTGACAGGAAACTGTTTTACCTTGTTCTTTTTTAGCAGACATGACGCATTCACCTCTTTTTTTTTCTCTTCCTCTCTTTTCTCTTTTGAAAGCCATAATGAAACTGTGTTTTTGCTCTGTCCTAATCCGCTGACAGCTCGTGTCAACACCATGTGTAATTGGACTGGTGTAATGATAGGACAGGCATTAACATGGAGGGCTCAGGGACATGCAGACGGGGTGAGAGGATTAGGCTCCCCAGTCACAGTTAAAACAAGGCCTTATGAAGCATTAGTCAACACTTCTACCAGCCACCCTCCTACCGTCTTCCTACACCTTTAGTGCTATAGGGGAAGCTTATTGTACCAGGGGCTGTGTAGTTC